CTTTTAAAAATCATGCTTTGTTGGGGCACCTGGGTGGCTCAGTCGGTTAAGCCTTCGGCTCAGGTCATGATCCCAGGATCCTGGGATCGAGCTCCATGTTGGGCTCTCTGCTAAGCAGGAGCCTGCTTCTCCCTCTCTCTGCCACTCTCCCTGCTTATACATTCTCTCTCTTTCACTGTCAAATAATAAATAAAATCTTTAAAAAAATCATGCCTTGTCTCTTCATAACTGTTATTTTCTGGTTCAGTAATGGACACTAAATATGAAAAATTATAAAAATGATTTGTGTGCAAGAATTTTTTTTTTTTTTGCTTTGGTCAAGCTTAGGGACTAGGATCAATTTAATCCAATTTCAAGGACTAAAATGATTTGAAACTGAGTTTTAGTTCTTTCAAGATCCAATTGGATTCGAGTTCACCTGTACACCCCACAAGATTGTCAAAAGTTCTGTTCTCTTTCTCAGCTGCCTCTTCTGGATTTGGCAACTGGCAGTTACAAATTCTGGGTTAAACTCTTTGGGTTTCCGTCTTCTCCCAGATATTTTTCACTGCCTTATTAGCTTTCTAATGTTTTCAAATAGGCATCTTATTTAAAAACAAAAACAAAAACATTTTTTTCTAGATTTTCTAATTGTTCCTAGTGGGATGGCTGGTCTAAGTATTGTCTGCCATTACCAAAGCTGAAGTCCTGATTAGTATATACTTTAATTTGATGTCAATTTAAACATCCAAGAAGACTCCAATCTCTGTTGCTTCCACTGTTTGTTATCTTGGCAAGATACCCAACTCTCATCTGCTCCACAGATGATCATGGAGTGATTCATAGTAGTGCCTTCAGACTACCTACACCATGAGAACAAACCACATGAGACATGGTCTGACTTGATGAGACAGAAGAAGAGAATCTAGTGAAGGAATCAGAGTGTGAGAGAAATAAAGCCATAGAAGGAGTGATTTTGGAGAATGCAATGGAAAACAGGTTTTTATGGAAGCATAGATCAATACTGTCAAACACTGCAGAGACAAAGTAAGTCAAGAGGGAGATTAGGATATTGGGTCTGGTAATTAAGAGGTCACCATTGTGCTTACTTCAGCAGCACCTACACTAAAATTCAAATGATACAAACGAGATTACCATGACTCCTGTGCAAGGATGACATGCAAATTTGTGGAATGTTCCATAAAAAAAATTGAAGCCACCAGTAATCATTAAGAGAACAGTTTCTATAGACAGTTATGGATAGGATAAATGAAAGACAGGTGAGGAGTTGGAGGTAGTGTAGACTTTAAGAAGGCAAGTAATAAAAGAAAACAGAATGATGGGTGTGGTAAAGAAAACAGAGTCAAGGAGAGATTTTAGTCCTTGTTTGCCTTTTTTATTTTTAAGATTTTATTTATTTATTTGATAGAGAGAGCACAAGCAGGGGGAGCGGCAGGCAGAGGGAGAGGGAGAAACAGGCTTCCCATTGAGCAGCAAGCCCTACACGGGGGCTTCATCCCGGGACACCCAAGTCTTTGTTTGCTTTTAGCCCAGGGCACTCTTGAGTATGTTTGTAGATTGAAGGAAAGATACTAGCAGAAAACAGATTAAAGACTGGAGGGGCAAGTGAAATTAACTGAACTAAGTCCCAGAGAAAATAGAATAGGAGCAAGGTTAATCTCTCCACTGAGATGTAGGAGTACAAAATAGAGATAAAGGACAAGATTTATAAATGCCAAAATGAGGATAAGGAGGTGGGAATTACATGAATTCAGTTCTGTAGCATCTGCTTCTACGGTGCTGTAAAAAAGGTCATCAGCTCATTCTAAGTGTAAAAAGTTCCCTTACCTTTCACTAGTTATTTTCCCTTTAACATCTGCAACACAAATATTTAGTCCTTCTCATTGGCTTTAAAGTGCAGAAGTAAGAAACTTTTTTTTTTTTTTTAAGATTTTATTTATTTATTCATGACAGACAGAGAGAGAGAGAGGCAGAGGGAGAAGCAGGCTCCCAAGGAGCAGGGAGCCCGATGCAGGACTTGATCCCAGGACCCTGAGATCATGACCTGAGCCGTAGGCAGACGCTTAACCATCTGAGCCACCCAGGCGCCCAGTAAGAAACTTTTTTTATATTCCTATAGCAATGTTCTCTTATTTCACCAAGTACTCATTTCCTTCCCCTCCCCACCCCCCAAAATGCATTTTGAAGAATCTTAATATAAGGACCACATAGGTTGGCTACTTACTGGAATGGAAGTGTAGGAAGACAAATACTTTCTCCAACCTAAATGAAAATCAAATAACTTTAGCAACTGGTTCTTTTTTTCCCATTTTGTTTTCTTATAAATGGAGACTCAACAAAAGCAATGATTGTGTTTTATATAACTTGTCAATGTATTGCAAACACTGGGGGTATTAAATAAATAATAAATGGGGTAAAGTTTCCAAATAGTGAAGCTGACTATAACCTAGTCACAACTGCTGCTAGCAATGCAGAGGCTGAGCTTAAAATTACCAAGAATAAAGCATACATATCCTTAATCATGATGTTCAGAAATGTTACATTTTGGTAATTACAACTTTCAGTTAACTCATAAATATTTGTTGAGTATTTTCTATTTGCTTCATAGCAACCTGATGAGAAAGTACCAATACTAATCTCATCTTAAAGTGAAATAAATGAGGATTCAAGAGATTAAGAGCATGCTCAAGTTTGTATATTCAACTAATATATGCAGACCTGGAATTCAAACTTGTTTTTCTGAGTCCAAAGCCAATAGCGTAATTTACAATGCTATACAGCCTCCTCCTCAATTTAGCACCTATAAGAGTTGGATAACATTTTTCCTTGAGAAAGAATAAGGAATCATACTATTTAATAGTTTAACAATGCAAATTTGTACCCTGTGCAAGGCAGACAAGTATATTGTCCAAAGCATAAGGATGGAGTTTAACGGACAGAAGCAATTATTCAAGAATGAGAAATGGAGTATGTTCTATCGTTGGACTTCACCTTTGTATTTTAGTGCCTGGGTAATGATATATTTAATAGGGTATGAGCTAATGATAGAAAACTTGTTCAGTATTTAAGGTAAAGAAGAATTGCTTAAGGAAATGTGACATTACCAACGAGGCAAACTTCTGTTTTGCATATCAGAGCATTAAATTTTTTCTTCATTTTATTGTCCAACAATTTTGGTGGACTATATAAGAAAAAAGTGAGGTGGCCAGAAAGTCTGTGAAGAATTTTAAGGTCCATCTAAATAACAGGCATTACGAACTATCACCATTGCATCTTAAATAATTAATTCCATTGAAATTTTTAATGGTTTGGGAAATTTATGCTACAACCAGACTTATAAAAAATAATTTATATTTAAACTTTCTCTTAGTATTTCTGCAGTTCATGCTGTGTGTTACCAAACATTAGTTGGAAATAGTAGCTATAAACAGATGAAATTTGAGAAAATAATATAAAAATAGTTATGCTTGTTATACAATCCAGCCTCTTTAGAATATGATGCTGATTTTTTACAAACCATGCTTCATTCAACATCGAGCATATGGCATTGTGGTTCTGAGACAAATATATCTCTGATCAAGATTTCTATCACTAAGGAGTGCCTGGGTGGCTCAGTCGTTAAGCGCGTCTGCCTTCGGCTCAGGTCATGATCCCAGGGTCCTGGGATCGAGCCCCACATCGGGCTCCCCGCTCAGCAGAAAGCCTGCTTCTCCCTCTCCCACTCCCCTTGTGTTCCTGCTCTAGCATTGTCTCTCTCTGTCAAATAAATAAATAAAATCTTAAAAAAAAAAAAGATTTCTATCACTAAATTTATATTTATTAGGCACTTCACAAAATTCCCTTTTATTCTTTATTACTTAGCCCTTTCTATTATAGAATGTTGCTTACACACAATTAATCTATTAGATTAATACAGCAATCACAAAAACTCAATAGAAAAGTAGCTTAATTAAAATAATTACACAATTTTGACCATAAGCAATTTTAGTTAATTCTTATCCATTACAAATATTCTAACAGGTAGGGCTTAGTTTGTGAGAGTACATGCTAATATCGCCTCATATTTCTTTTCCTACAGTAAATTTGAAACATAATGCCACCTCAGCTGGCATAAGAAATTCATATATCAATGTGAACAGAGAAAGGGAAAGAGAGTTTAAATACAAGAAGAACAAATCAAAAGCTTCTATTTTTAATGTTATCCTTTTACTATATAAGTAAAGCAAGTATGTTTAGGCCAGGGTCCCACTGAGGGGAGCTGTCTTGTCATCTGTTAAACTAAATATTCTATAAACATGTGCAAATGGCCCTAAATAAATCTAAAATACTGTTTTAAAAAATTAAATAAAAAGAATATCCAATAAAGGATTAATACCCCAAATATATAAAGAAGTTACATAATTCCACACCAAAACAAACAAATAATCCAATTAGGAAATGGGCAGAGAACCTGAATACACCCTTTTCCAAAGAAGATATACAGATGGCCAACAGACACATGAAAAAATCCTCAACATCATCAATCATTAGGGAAATGGAAATCAAAATCACAACGAGATACTACCTTACACCTGTCAGAATGTCTAGTATCAAAAAGACCAGGAATAACAAGTGTTGGCTAGGATGTGGAGAAAAGGAAACCCTCATGCACTATTGGTGGGAATGTAAATTGGTCTAAAAACAGTATGGAGTTTCCTCAAAAAATTAAAATAGAAATGTCACACAACTCAGTAACTCTACCACTGTATATTTACCCCCTCAAAATGAAAACACTAACTCAAAAAGATATATGCATCCCTATGTTTATTGCAGCATTATTTACAGTAGCTAAGTTATGGAAGCAACTCAAGTGTCCATCAAGAGATGAATGGCTAAAGGAGATGTGGTATATGCATACAATGGAATATTACTCAGCCATAAGAATAAAATCTCACCACTTGTCACAATATGGCTGGAACTAGAGGTATTATGCTAAGTGAAATAAGTCAGACAAAGACAAATAACACATAATTTCACTTTTATGTAGGATCTAAAAAACAAAACAAAAAAACCAAACAACAACCAAGAACAAAACAAAACAAAATCCAATCAAAAAACAAAATCATAAATACAGAGAACAAACTGAGTGATTTCCAGAGGGTAGGGGATTAACAGGATGGGTGAGTTAGGTAAAAGGGATTAAGAGGTACAGGCTACAGTTATAAAATAAGTAAGTCACAGGAATAAAAAGTACGGTGTAGGGAATATAGTCCATAATATTATAATAGTTTTGTAAGGTGACAGGTAGTAGCTACACTTATTATGGTGAGCATAGCGTAATGTACAGAATTGTGGAATCACTATATTGCAAACCTGAAACTAATATAACATTGTATGTTAACTGTACTTCAATTTAAAAAGTTAAAAAATGTCAATCACCTTAAATTGATTAAATTTATTCATGTAATGGATAATATAGTATAAAATAAAACTATTAAAAAGGAGAGAAGTGAGAAGTGTTTTTGATTTCTTCCTAGTCAGCTTCTAAAAAAAAAAAGTTTACTTATATAAGTAATCTCTACACCGAACGTGGGGCTTGAACTCATGACCCCAAGATCAAGAACTGCATGCCCTTCCAGCTGAGCCAGCCAGAACCTCCCCCCCACAGCTTTTAATACGTTCTATGTAATTAATATATACATATATATTTTTTAACGAAGTAAAAGTGCGGATACAATTTTTTTATTTGTTGTACATTTTGAATGTTCCATTAACTATTTCATATTTTGGGATGCCTGGGTGGCTCAGTCTGTTAAGTGTCTGACATCAGCTCAGGTCATGATCCCAGCGTTCTGGGATTGAGTCTTGGCAACAGGCTCCTTGCTCAGCAGGGAGCCTGCTTCTCCCTCTGCCTGCCCACTCTCCCCTGCTCGTGTGCACTTGCTCTCTCTATGACAAATAAAATCTTAAAAAAAAAGAACTCTCATATTTTTTGAATGAGAGACTTGAAATGAAATTAAAATTGTTTTAGAAATCTGCAGTGTAGACTCATCATTATTTCTACTTACTTAAAAACAAAAATCAGAAAAAAGAATTTTATAAACCTTTGAAGATATGTAATACTCTGCAAAGACTAAAGAAAATATGATTTTCAAATGCTTGCAAGTGACTTTTAAGATATACAAAAAACCTACTTAAGCATACTGTATTCTCTTATAAACTATTGGTTGCAACATAATAAATAATACAATATAAATGACTTTAAGCACAAATCACATACCATGTATTACATGAAATAGAAAAGAGATATAGATACAATTCATGTATCCCAAAAGACCCGAGAAACTCCAAAGATTATACAGTAATATACAATATTTAAAACAAAATGAATATAAAATAGAGATATCAACTAAAAACTGTTGCAGTTATTTAATTTTATTTCTTTTTTTTTTTAAAGATTTTATTTATTTATTTGAGAGAGAGAGAATGAGAGACAGAGAGCATGAGAGGGAGGAGGGTCAGAGGGAGAAGCAGACTCCCTGCCGAGCAGGGAGCCCAATGCGGGACTCGATCCGGGGACTCTAGGATCACGACCTGAGCCGAAGGCAGTCGTTTAACCAACTGAGCCACCCAGGCGCCCCTTAATTTTATTTCTTAATAAGCAATGAACTAAAACCTCTTAAGAACTGATGTACTACACAATGGTATTGATGCTATATTAAAATGGCTGGTAGAAAGCAGTCGATAAGAAATTCAGAAATGGGGGTGCCTGGGTGGCTCAGTAGTTGAGCGTCTGCCTTCAGCTCAGGTCATGATCCCAGGATCATGGGATCGAGCCCTACATGGGGCTCCCCGCTCCGTGGGAAGCCTGCTTTTCCCTCTCCCACTCCCCCTGCTTGTGTTCCCTTTCCCACTGTGTCTCTCTCTGTCGAATAAATAAATAAAATCTTAAAAAAAAAAAAAAAAGAAATTCAGAAATGTAAAACAATTGCTTGTTTTATATTCATTATATTTTATTGGAAAAGAAATACACACTCATTTTAATAATCAGTGTTTATTTCTGTATGTATTGTTCGGATTTCACAAAAACATTTTCCAGCATTAACCATTTAAAACTCATTCATGTAAAAACCAAGAAGCAGGCAAGAATGATTGTGGTAAACAGCCTAATTACAGAAAATAATTCCTATATTTTTACATTACAACATTTTAAACATTTTTTTTTTTGAAAATTTTATTTATTTATTTGACAGACAGAGACACAGCGAGAGAGGGAATACAAGCAGGGGGAGTGGGAGAGGGAGAAGCAGGCTTCCCGTTGAGCAGGGAGTCCGATGCGGGGCTGATCCCAGGACCCTAGGATCATGACCTGAGCCGAAGGCAGACGCCTAACGACTGAGCCACCCAGGCGCCCCTTATATTACAACATTTTAAAACGATTTTGTGTTTATTTAAGAAAGGATTTTTTTCATGCATAGTCAAGATTTTTTTCTATCAAGGTATTAGATTCCCAGGGCTGCTGTAACAAATTACCACACATTGGGTGGCTTTCAACAACAGAAATGTATTCTGTCATGGTTCTGGAGTCTGAAGGTCTGAAATCAAGGTGTCAGCAAAGTTGTTGGCTCCTACTTAAAACTGAGGGAGAATCTCTTCCATGCTTCTCTCCTAGCTTTTAATGGTTGCCAGCAATCCCTGGTGTCCCCTGGCTTGTATGATGTATCATTCTAATGTCTACTTTTATCTTCATGTGCCATTCTTCCCTGCATCTCTGTTTCTCTTCTCTTCTTCTTTTTTAAAGATTTTATTTATTTATTTGAGATAGAGAGAAAGAGAGAGAGCATGAGAGGGAGGAAGGCCAGGGAGAAGCAGACTCCCTGCTGAGCGGGGAGCCCAACGCAAGGCCCGATTCTGGGACTCCAGGATCATGTTCTGAGCCGAAGGCAGATGCTTAGCTGACTGAGCCACCCAGGCGGCCCTCTCTTCTCTTCTTATAAGGTCACCACACATATTGGATTAAGGGCCTGCTTTGCTCCGGTATGACTTCAGCTGAACTACCTACATCTGTAGTGATCATATGTCCTTCTGAGAAGGACATGAATTTTTTTGGGGGAAATACTATTCAACCTGGTGCAGTCACTTTCCATTTAACATTAAAGAAAAAACCCCCATACTATACAGGATCCAAAAATGACAGATGAAATAGGTAAATCATTGTTGAATATAACAGTGTGATCTCTTATTTTCTAACCAGATACTTGGATGGGAACGTACCTTTGGGAATCTTTCTCATTCACAATTATGACTTATATGCAAGAGAAACAAATATTTTTTCAGGAAAGATTCAGAGGAACAAGGTAGGTACATTCATTTTTTTCTAATTTGAGGACACTGCTCCCTACAATATTTTCTAATTCTGCACAATTAGAAATTAATTCCACTGCATAATTGCCCAGATTTGAATAAAACCTATAAAGTGGCAAACAAGCTTGAGCACTTAAATATTACAGAGGTAGATAAAGTAAATCTACAGTGAATTCGAGTATTTCATTCTTATCCTTTGCCAATACTTATGTTGATATTTTATTCACTTGTACTCACCAATTCAGCATCTGTCAACATGATTGAGAAGATGAATTTTTCCTATATTTGAATAGTTTACTAAGCATATTAATAGTATAAATATGATTTTAGGGATAATCACTTAAGAAAGCCATCATTTATATGTACCTTTTATCAACATGCCAATGTACCCTTTGACTAATTATATCTCTTATTCATCCTTCAAGTCATAATTCAAGCATCACAAGGTCAGACCCGTTTTCCTTCAGTAAGTGAAATCCCTACTAGATGTTCTTGCAGTACCCAGTATTGCTTCTTTGTAGCTTTTACCACTGCGTTAATTTTTTATTAATTTTTGTGATTATTTAACTACCATTACTCTTCTCCACTAGACTTAAACTCCATAGGACAAGTACTGTAAGGTATGTGTATTTTATTCACCTTTGTTTCTCTGCCTAGTTAGTACTTGCTGAATAACTGAAAAAATTAGAAATGCATATTTACATATAAAAAGTTGGTATGTGAATCATGAATCAATCTCAATATGTTAAAGAATCCTTTACCAAGCGAATGTCTCCTAAATAAACATTTTACTATTATAGTTACTTTTGGATAGGTAAAAACATTAGGGGCACAATCATTTTAATATCTTTTTCATATACTTTTCTATTTCAAATAGATTTGGTTGAATTATTTTGAATAGCTCAATTAAAAAATGCAGGATTCAAATGATGACAGATTTTATTATGCATCAAAGGCATTCTGGGATATTATTAAAATAAACATAATTTACTTATTAAATATAAGTTTCATGAAACATTCTCTATGATAGCTATTAGAGCAATTCTACATTTTTACTTTGCAATGTGATAAAATGGCATATATCATATTATAAAATCTCTTTGAAACAATGAACACTATAATTTCAAAAGTGACATTTAACAGTATGATGCATTTTAAAAATACTTGAAAATTTAAAATTTGCATAATACTTATATTTAAGAAGACTATAGTACTACTAAATTATTCCCAAATAGAAATTAAAATTTCTTCCATGATCATTAATTATTTGATCCACAGAAAGCTGTTGCAAATTTGAATATCTAAATTCAGATTTTAGAGCATGCAGATACAATTATAATCTCTCTCTTTTGACAGCTTGAGCTTACATATTTAGATAAATACACATAGTACTCTTCTTCTTTTTAAAAGATTTCCTGATTAGAGAAAGGACTGCATTTCAGAAGTTAAATATAATGCTCAGATAAACACATTTTTCCCAGTTTTGAGATGCTGCTGCTCCTTGAACTTTCTGTGTCATGCTAATATTTCTGACATTTTCTTTCTGAGGAAAAAAATGGTAAATACCCTCAATTTCCACACATATATAGTACATCTCTTTAGATAGATATATCTCATACTTTCTTATATTAAATTGATCAAGTAATATCACATGAAAAAAAAAGACAAACTGTGAAAGGAAAACTTGAAGGATCAAATGATGAAAACTTTCTTTCTCATAATTTGATGGCTGCTCTAAGCTTGGCTGAGCGTGCTCTGGGGTTATCCTGTACATCCTGATCTTCTGGAGTAAGTACTTTTTTGTGTATCAGTTCCCACATTAAAGGGGCCCTGCCTATAGAGCCTCCTTCCTTGTTTTCATGACCTGAACCCAGTTGCGATCCTTGTTTCACTTTCTGTCTAGCACTTAGGTTAAACCTTTCTGTCATGCTTATCCCAAGCAGGAATCGTTTGACAATGCGATCCTCTAATGAATGGAAGGAGAGGGTAACAAGGCGGCCACCAGGTCTCAGAAACTTCTGAGCTGTCTTCAGTCCTGTGTAAAGTTCATTGAGTTCATTGTTCACAAATATTCGAAAAGCTTGGAAAGTCTTGGTAGCAATATGGGTAGATCGTTGTAGCAAGTCTTTCCGTGCAAAAACAGCAGATGGAGGAAATGCACCTACGAATAGATTTTGTAAAAACAGGAAAAGAGGACAGGAAAAATTAATATTTTCTACCGTAATTTACTGCGCTGTGTGTGTATATATTTAAGGAACTACGTTTCATTAGAAAATTGTGGCATTTCATTCATTCTTCCATTTTATTTCCAAGCATCCAATCAAGATTTAAACTATTGTGTCAGAAACAGCTTTCATAACTCGTAACAGTAACTGGAGTCAAACAAGTAGAGAAAGAGGCAGACAAATATTAGTGATTAAAAAACTTCCCAACTTGGGTGAAAAATATTAAGTCACTGATACAAGAAGCTCAGTGAACTACAAATAGAATAAAGAAGAGAAAACTGCATTTAGGTGCATCATAATCAAACTACGACAAGCTAAAGATAATCAGAAAAATCTTGACTATAATAAAGAAATACATAAAGGAGAACAAAAATATGATTAACAGTTATTTTCTCATGAGGACAATGGAAGCTATACAATACTGGAATAACATTCAAATTGTTGAGGGAAAAAATCTGTCTTCCAAGAAGGCTATCTAAAACTATTCTTCAGAATTAAAGGTTCAAAGACATTTTCAAATAAATAAAAAATGAGAGAATTCATTGCTAATATGTCTGCATTCAAGGAATGCTAAAGGAAACACTTCATGCTGAAATAAAATGACACCAGATGATAACTTGCATATACAGAAAAAGAGATTATAGATACATCTATGAGATATCCATATATCTTTCTACATATGGGTTCTCTTAATTTCTTCAAAAGACAGGACTCTTTAAGTGAAATTATAACAATATTTTTTACATTTATATACATTATAATATAGGTATTGATTTGTGCAAAGGATTAGAGTGGGTAAATGGAGCTATATTTTTGCAAGATTCATATGTTGTACTGGAAGTTAAAGTTGCATATTGTGGTCCCTAGAGCAATCAATAAAAGTAATGCAAAGAAATAAAGCTAATAAACTCAGAGAATAAAAATAGTACACAAAAAATATTGCTTAACATAAAAGACAGCAGAACAGAACAAGAAAACAGAAATTAGACAAAGAGAAGACAAATAGTAAAATGGCAGACAATAAAATCAAATATATCAATAATTACATTAAATATAAATGTATTAAATACCCCAATATAAATGAGATTATCTGACTGAAGAATAGCAGGACCTAACTATACATTGTCTACAGAAATGTATAGAAATGTACTTTAAATATAAAAATGCAAATAAAAGTAAAAGTAAGTAAAAGGCTGTGAAAAGATATGCCATAAAGACAGAAGCATAAAAAAGAGAGATCGTATTAATATTAGAAAAAACAAACCTTTAAAAAGGGAGAACTCCTAGACCCAAAGAGAAACATTTCTTATTGAGAAAAAGATCAATACAGCAGGAAAATACAACTGTAAATGCAAATGCACCAAATAACATAATTATCAAAATTTGGACATCTCCGAAAAAGACACACATTTATAAAAGCAACTGATTTTTGACCAAGTTGTTAAGTTAGTTCAATGGAGAAAGAACAGATTTTCAATGAAAGTTGATTATCATAAAAGAAGATGAACTTCAACTCTTACTGCACACTGTACACAAAAATTAATATAAAATGGATCACAGACGTAAGAGTAAACACTAAACCTAAAATATATATCTGACAAAACTCTTATCCAGAATATGTAAGGAAATCTCACAACTTAATAAGAAGCCAAACCACCTATGTTCAAAAATTTGAACAAACACTTTACAAAAGATATATAATCAATAAACATATGTAAAGATGTTCATCATCATTAGTCATAAAAATGCCAGTTAAAACCACAATGAAATATCACTACACATCCACTAGAACTGCTAAATCCTAGAAAGAAGCAAACTACTGAAACTGACCCAGGAAGAAATAGATAATCTGAATAGAACTATTACAAGTGAAAGGATTAAATCAGTAATCAAAAGCAACCCACAAAGAAAAGTCCAGGCCCAGACGGCCTCACTGCTGAATTCTGCCAAACATTCTAATAATTAAAAACATTACTTCACAAATGCTTCCAAAAAATTGAAGAAAAGAGAACACTTCTCAAATTGCTTTATGAGCCCAGTATTACTATGAAACTAAAACCAAAGGCATCACAAGAAAATTACAGATCAATATCTCTTATGAATCTAAACATTAAAATACTCAACAAAATACTAGCAAACTGAATTTAGCAGCATATTAAAAGGATTATATGCCATGACCAAGTGGGATGGTCATGGTTCAACAAATGAAAATTGATCAATCTAATATGTCACATTGACAGAATGAAGGAAAAAACCCCACATGATTATGTCAAATGATGCAGAAAAAGCATTTGAAAAAATTCAACACCCTTTCATGATAAAAATACTCAAGAACTAGGAATAGAAGGAAAGTACCTCAGCATAATGAAGCCCATATATGAGAACCCAAAGCTAATATTATACTTAATGATGAAAGACTAAAAGCTTCTCCTTGAAGATCATGAACAAAACAAGAATACCCATCTTCACCACTTCTATTCAACGCAGTACTAAAAGTTCTAGTCAGAGCAATCAGACAAGAAAAAGAACTAAAAGGCATCAAAACTGGAAAGGAAGTAAAATTATCTCTCTTTACAGAGGACAGGATCTTATATGTAGAAAACACTAAAGATTACATATACACAAACCCTATGAGAACTAACAAATGGATTCAGCAAAGCTGTACTATATGAAATTAACATGCAAAAATCAGCTGTGTTTCTATCCTTAATAATTAACAATCCAAAAAAAAATCAAAAAAATTCCATTCACAGTGGCATCAAAAGGAATCAGATATTTAGGAATAAAGTTAACAAAAGAAAGGTAAACCTTATGTTATGGAAGCTACAAATATTAAAAAAAAATTGTTTAAGATGGCAATACTCCTCCAAATTAGTTTAAGATTCAATGCAATCTCTATCAGATCCCAGCTGACTTTTTTAATACAAATTGACATGCTAATTCTAAAATTCATATGGAATTGTAAGAGACCCAGAACAGCCAAAATGATCTGGGGAGGGGGGCACGGGGGGGGTGAAGGGAAGAGAATGAAGAAGGAGGACTCACACTTAGGGATTTCAAAACTTCCTAAAAAGCAATTGTAATTGAGACAGTGTGGTGCTGGTACAACAATGGACATAGAGATCAATGGAATATAATTGAAAGCTCAGAAATAAGCCCTATGAGCAACAGATTTTTGACAAGAATGTCAAAGTCATGCAATACGGAAAGAATGGTTAATTGAACAAATAATGTTAGGACTACTAGATAGATAGTCATATACTAAAAAATGGAGTTGGACCATTAAATCACATAGAAAAATTAACTCAAAATGGATCAAAGACATAAATGTAAGAGCAAAAACTATAAAATTCTTAGAATTTTGTCTTAGAAAGAAAACACAGGGATAAACATTAATGACTTTGAATTTGGCAAAAAAAATTCTTAGATAGGACACCCAAATCACAAGCAACAAAAGAAAATTGTACATCATCAAAATTAATTTTGTTACTCAAAAGACACCATCAAGAAAGCGAAAAGACAACCGAAAGAATGGAGAAAAAATTGCAAATCATGTATCTGGTAAGGGATTAATGTATCTACAATATGTCAAAGAAGAAAATTACAAAATGATGCATGTATGATACTATTTACATTTTAAAATATGCACATCAAAAGAGACAAGCTCCATTTAGTTTTCAAGAATAGGATAAACAAAAAATGTTGATTTTTAAATAAATCAATAATTTTCCTTAAACTTACTCCATTGTCATACAAATATATTAAAGTATAATGTTCAATGAACTTATAAAGGAATTTTCTATTTAATTTTTTTACTTGATTACTCATGTCTTAAAATTTTTGTTCCTAGAGAATATTATCCCATAGAAATGTAATCCTTGTGGTCCAGATTCTCTATGGATGAAGATCGGGAAGTATGGCTGCAATCCTGGCACTTAAGTCTCATTGGCATGCTTCTTACAGCAAAGTAAATTATACAAGGCTGGTGCCTTAGTTCACATTTTAGTAACCTGTAGGTCCAGTAGTACATTAAGACACACTTGATTAATCTTCTGGGAAACAATCAGAGAAAGAAAGAAATAATACCATACTCGTACCAGGGAGCTGAGAACCTGGCTGTCTAAAGTTAACCAAATCCATGGTATGGGTTCACTCTTTCATCCACAAAAACTACTCTGTTGAAAGGCTAGTTTAGACGTTAGGGAATTTATCTTCTAACAAGCAGGTCTCTCAGAAACAAAATATCAAAGTCAAAGCTGAAGAGGGAGGTCAACTTTTTTTCTATTTGTTATTCAATCGCTCCATGTTCCACAGAAAGAGTTTTGGTCACTGGGAAATGTATTTTAAAATATTCTAAAATCTGAACAAATATACAACTCTTCATGTTTTAGAGCTTGGATTTAGAGGATGCTTCAGGAAGGGTGTATTCCTAAAGACTTGCATAATTTAAACCTTGTATAATTCAACACTAATTTTCTCAAAAAAAATATATTATAAAATAAATTTCAATTTACATGTATTTTGATGTAAAATAGGACATAAACATCCATGGAACACAAGAAGCATCAAATAATGTAGCATGTTTCTGCTTTAATGCTTTAAAATTTTGTTTCATAACATTATCTCTAATATTTTAGATATTAAATGGATGGCTCAACATGGTAATTGCTTAGCATTCTTGACATTTTATCACATTTCAGAGATATACATTTGAGGATGTGGTTATTAACAGCACTGAATTAGCCATACCTGACTTTATGTTAAACAATTTGATGAAATAACAGAAAAGCAGAGAGTTTAATAATATTTGCTTGATATTGTCAATGAATATATTTTCAAAAAATAATGAAAATATCTTCATGAAGTCCCAAAAGTTCATTTTTGCTTTTGCTTCACTAGCATTTGGAGATATATCTTGAAAGAGGTTGCTGTAGCC